CCCCAAAACCCCAAAACCCCCGCTTTAAATATTTATAGAATTCTAATAATTATGAAATAAAAATTAACTTAAGTAAATATTTATCAGCAATCAATTTTTGCTACTTGATTTTCCACCTCTTGTTGTTAATTGCTACTTTTGAGCTACTCTTTTTTTCTTTTCTTCTTATGCACTAATCTTTTTATGTCTTCCTCTTTTCTCATTTGAAGATACTTTATTTTCTCTTTCATCCTTGCTAGTCTAATTCACCTCATCACAAAACTAGTCCTCATCATTAGAACCTTCATTTGTATAGGTGTTTAATTCAATTTCAGAGGCAACTCTGTCTTCCAGCTTCCTCTTTCTAAGAATACTCTTATTTTTCTCTACTTCATCTGCTTTGGCTGCAAATATTTAAGCTGATTTCACATTACTTACTAGTTCTTCTGCATCACTATCTGTCTTTGAGGATTTTCTCTTATTTTTGCAGGGTTTTTCACTCTCATCCTTCATTTCAACATTATCAACTACTATGCTTTAGCATCTAGTTTTTTTTGTAGCATTCTCTAGTACTTTCTCGTGTTCATTTGAAAGCATTTCATATGTGAGTTTTTGCTCCTCATTCAGAGATTACCATTTACTATGGAGATAAGCAATAATTTCAATCTGTTTCATTTGGGGCATAGCTTAGGAAATCTTGGGAGATTACTCTTTAAGGAAATAGTAAAATCCATTTCTAGCTTCTCTCTTCTTTTTAGCCTCTAAACTTTCCTTAATATTCTATTGCTCAAGCTTCTCAAGATCAATCTCACTCTCAATACTTATCTACTCATCCACAATTACTTGCAATTTTGACTCAGTTTCATATTTGATATTGCTCACTAACTTTTAGATCTATTCTTGCATATTATCAAGTTTTCTTCTTTTGTTCTATGCTAGATCCAAAAGTCCATTGCAATCAACAGTCAATTAGTTCAAAGATTAGCCTAGAAGATTGAATTGGTCTTATCTTTTGGTTATAGCGCTATACTAATTCTAATCAAACATTCCATTTACAAGACTTGAGTAGTTTAATGCCACATCATGAGAAACTTGCATTTCATTAAGTTTTTAGTTCACATCTTTTACATCTATCTATGCAAATATATTATTAATCTCTCTTAGTTTCTGATTTTTTATTTTATCTAATGATCCATACAAATCATCAAATAATCGTAGATAGTTCTATCTCAATTTAACTTTCCAATTCTTGGCATCAATTCTCTCAATAGCATTCAAAGACCCCTCAAATTATGAGAAGTGAGAGTTAAATTATTTATGAATCTCAAGTGCAATCTTTGATAGTGGAGCAGTTGTATGATCTTTATGGACGTCAGTAATGATACATGTATCACAAAGATGTTCTTGAGTCTCTGAACACAAATGATTCTTCTTCATTTTAGGATGAAGACTGCACAAATCATATTTTGCTGCATATTTATCAAGTTTGCTATGTCTCATTTGTTCATGGAAGTTAGTCAACTATTCTTCCTCTGGAATATCACTCTTATAGATCAATTTATTAGGGTCGAAGACATACTATGTTTCGTCAGTTTTTTAAGAGCTAATCTAAGAAGACATTGTTGATCTTACATCTTTCATATTGTGAAGACTAGATTGTTCATGGAAGTATTTCTAGGAATCTATATTAAAACTCATAAATGACATAGGCTGTTCCACTCTCAGCATGGTAGATTCTTCCTTAGCCTAGCATTGGAGCATAATTTTACTAAGAAATTCTGGATTCTTAAGCAAAATATCTTGAATCTAATTTAAATCATAGGTGAGTTTAGGTTGAGTTTATTCTAAATTTTAATATTGCTACTATTGGACAAATCCGCTAATGGGCTATATAAAAGGGTCAATTAGTTGAAGAGATTAGCCTTATTTTTGAAGATAATTATCACATTGATCATAATCAGTTTAGTTAGATGTGTTTTGAATAGGCAATTGAAAATCATTTTAAATATCTAGAGGAGGAGCTTCAAGAACTTCAACACTGTTAGGTGAGTATTCTGGAAAAGAGTCATTGATCTGAATATCTTGGCCTGAATTCTCTTACAACTGATGAGATTGGCTATTTCTTAGATGATAACTCAAGTAATTATGATCTTACCCTGAAACTCTCTCGAGGTTGGTATGTTGTAGGATTTCAGCAGAAATTAAAGTAGTCATGAGAATAAATAATTATAGATATTAAATTCAAACTCATTAAATGACCAAATATTATGCTTAAAGGGGTTTTGGGGTTTTGGGGTTTTGGGG